TATAACTTAAATTCACCAAATGTTGCGTGTTTCCCAGAAAACGAAGATCATTTAATTCTGGAAGTAATAGCTCTGGTTGACGTTTATGGAATTAAACTTTATATGTAGTATGTGAAATCAGCCCAGCACACACATTCCTGTCGAATCTGTCTTGAAATTATGTTTAAAGAAAGCCACTGTCAGTGTAAAATTTGAAAGTACAAGCCCTGTCCTACCCATATTACTGCAATATAAGTATGGAATTTTATTTCACATTTTGTTCAGAAGCAAAACCTGTTTTAATAAAACCGGAGGTCAGCCTTTCACTGGTGGTGAAAGGAAAAGAATCAAAGTCATGATTTCTTTTTTAGAAGCAAATATTTGTAATTCATTTTTCAGCAAATGACAGCTGTCTCTGTGATTGACTTTGCATGATTGTCCTTTAGTTATCAGCCAAGAAATGTGATTATTCATAATATTTTATTAGTTCTTCAGAATGCCATATACATAAAGTTAAATTCTGTAAGTGACAAAACATTTCTTAATAGCATCTAATTGCATGTGCGGCGTGTGGGGCATGATTTATATCAACAACGTTTTCTGTAGTTTCCCCACTTCTGAAACTTTTGAATTAAAAGAGAATAAAAAGTTTCATTGTGCACAGAGTAACTGCCCTGGTAGGGAAGGGATTTTGCTTTAGTCACCGGAGCTGGCACTACAGTGTTGGGGAATCCTGACAGTGATCATGTGGGATCTTCATGTTGTTTTACCTGCAAAATGGAAAAGTGGGATTGGCTTCAGGACTGGAAAATGTTTGTACCCTCTAAAAACTCAGTAGAAAACGAGAGTAGAAAACTATTAACGCATCTCGTGGAGAAATTATTTTTGCAATTCTAATGCTTTTTAAAGCATTTTGAGTGCAGCTTTGGGGATGAGAGAAGGAGGGAAAAAAATAAAAATAAAGTATCAAAAAATAAAATCATCTTTATACCCAAACAAATGCAAAATTAAGTAGCTGACATAGGTTACAAAATCTCTCTGGTTTCAGGTGTACTGTTTGCAATTGAATACTCTTATTGTAAGAATAATAACTAGTTTACATTTAAAAAAAAAAATGCTTTCGAAGTGGATAATTGTTATTTTTGCTCAAAATATGTTAGGTAGTTGATGGGATGTTAAAAAACACGTCTTAAATAAAGCCAGATGGCCACCTGTGGTACTGAAGGGATCTCCAGATCAATATGGTTGATTTTTTTCGTTGTACAGTGAAGTACCTTGCCGGTTGTAAACTATTATCTCGTTTTAGTGAGAATGACCCTTCTTAGATGCAAATTAACAGCATGTTATTCAGTTATCAAAGGTACCAAAGTTATTTCCATAAGGGTTTAAAATTTCTTTATGATAGGAAGTGTAGGGCTGTGCTCGGGGTGTGTAATACACAAGTCTGCTGTGGTTTGAGCCAAGGTGGTCTGTGCTGCTCGTCTGCCTCGCATCACGTTGTTGTGGTTGAAATTTTCCCAGTGTTTTTCTTCTGAGGCTGAAGCTGTGGAAAAAACACCGTGTTGTCCCAAGCGAGTTATTTACAAGTTGTGTTTTGCATGTTCTGTAGCTGTCGTTTTTTCGAGGAAAATAAAGCCTGAGTTTGGCTGTGCTGAGAGGATTTCGATACACGAGACCTCAGACTGTGTGGAACTCGGCAGGACTTGCTGTGCATCTGCAGTTCAGGGCTGTGTTGGGAAGGGGTAGATCCAGGGCAAAATAATGAGGGGAAGCAGAGAGGAGGAAGCTGTTATGAGAAATAGCATCTTAAAAAAAAAAAAAAAAAGTGAAAGGAAAGAGAAAAGGGTAAAGTGATGGTGGGGCTTTTTTGTTGTTGTTGATCCAGTGCTCTTGCTAGCTCCTTTTCTGCTAGCAAGAGAGAGGAGTTTGCCTTCGCTAACTACTAAGAGAAAGTTGTCTGCACTAACAGTTAAAAGAGGCTGGGTCTGCATTAGAACTCGATTCTGGGTGAAAATTGGAGATTAGAGATTGTTTTACATTTGTCTCCTCTCAGCAGAGCCGAGGCATGAGACAAGTGAGAGGTTGTGCTTGGTGGCCCCAAGACAGAATGGCCGGTTGGACGTTGGGAAGCTCATCCCATGCTGGGGCTATGGACCAGTGGGCAGAGCAGGAGAAGGCGCAGGAGTGAGAGGATCCATCTAAAAGCAAGCAGGATCAAGAGGGAATGGAGATTTAGTTGGACAAGGAACAGGTATTAAGGGAGATGCTTCAAACTGGGCTGCTGTTCTGCGGAGTCAGAGTGGGGACACTTGATGTCCCGTAAGCGAGTCCTGTGTGTAACGGAGTTTAGGAGTGAGGGGTGGGTGAGGAGCAGTGGTTTGGGCTGGGGCAGAACGTGTTGAGCTTCGCAAGGCAGAGGGGATCGTGGTCCCTGTGATGCCATTTGGGGCTGAAGATATTTATTTATATGTAGGCACGTATCTTGTGACTTAGCGATACACACAGCAAGCAGTTCATTCCAAAGGGAAGCACTGGGAAACCGGGGAGCACCAGGCTGCCCTCCAGGCCCCTTTCTGCCTGCGTGAGGTGCTCAGGCGGCTAAGGCCACAGATGAGCTGTGAGATAAACACCATCCTGTGTGGAAACTGCCCTACTGACATGGTTTCTCCCCCGCCTCAGTAGCAGTTTACACTGAAAAGTAGTGACTAACGAGGTGAGTACTGGCTGTTTTCCTGGCTGGAGGTGTGTGAAGTGCCGCATGGCTGTGCACGGAGAGCTGCGCTCAGCTCCATCCACCGCCACGGCCTCCCGTGGCCTCGTGTTGCAGGTGCCTCCGGCCGCTGTGCGCGGGGCCGTGTGGGCCACGAGGCGCCACCCGGGCCTGTCCTGCTCCGCCTCAGAGGAGGGCAGCCCGGCCCGGCAGCGCCTCGGCTGCTCCCGTGTGGATTTGTGACAGGACGAGTTAACGTCGCTTTCCTCCGTCCTGAATGTCTCCCTCCCCTCCAGCTGCCACCGCTTCTCTGAGGTGGCCAGAATATTTTGTGCTGCTTGGGAGTCACCTGCAGAAGTGTAGCAGATCCAACTATAAATATTGTGTATGTTGTGCAGACTGTCAGGCTCGACTGTAAAATGATGTTTTTCCACTGAATAGCCATGGGAGACAGGACGGCTGAGGACATTGGTGATGGAATATAGATCTCTTGGTGTCTAGGGCTGATAAAGTGTTTATACTTGGTGGCTCTGTAGTGGCATAAAATAAATAGTCCTAGCCTTGTTTTGAAATCAGAGGTGTTAGTATCTCACCATCTCCGTTTAAGCAACGTCAGGGAGGCTAAGGAGATTTAATAGATGCAGATGCTCAGTGACTCTTTTGTCTTTGGTCCTTGAAAAGTCATGACAGGAGCTATGGAGCAGCTTTGGCTTTTGCTGCTTGGTGGCGAACAGGAGACTTCAGTTTCCAGTCAGTGAGACTTCCCCTCACACTGCTACTGTGTGAGGAAGCTCTTTTGCTAAAATGCTAGTGTTTTCGCATTAAAAATATTTGAGATCATAATATATGATATGTGGATGTTGGAGTCCTGCCTGATGCAGGAATACAGTGTAAGTTTCAGTGTTGGTGGTGGTAATGATTTCATTTTAAGAGGATTTTGATTTTTCATTTCTTTCATTTCATTCATAGGATATTTTCTGTTCTTCACTTTTGTTGTTTACTTTTAAAAATTTCCTATGCTCAAGTGAACTCTGTTTAATTTTGTTAACCCTGTATTGCAGCGTGGGGCAGGCTCTAGTTAAAAAACAACAAGCCCATGAACACTGACCACCCCCACTCGTTCCACTTCCTAATTCTGTCTTGCTGCTTCAGGGTTTTATTAAATGTCTGAAACATGGGTAAATGTTTGGAGATTGTCATTAAGTGGCCATAATTCACTACCAGAATTCGGTTGCGGAGGGCACCTGCACTGAGGTTGTTAACCAGGACACGCCGCCTTGCGGTGCGTATGCGCCGCTGCTTAGGGCAGCTCAATAAATAAATGGGAAGGCTCCGTTAGCTCCGTTGCTTGATCCCTTGCCAGTGGCCATGTTTTGGGAGAGCAAGGAGTGTTTGTTCTCAAATCTGTTTGGAAAAGTGTGTTTTTAAAAAGGACATGTTTCGTATGGCTGGTGAATAGCAGATGTAGACAGAACGAGTGCCACCATGGCCCTCAGAGTCCCCGTAAGGTAGAAAATGAGACGGGCTTAGGTTGTGTTGATCGCATGTTTGATTTACTCGCACATAATAGGGGAATGCTGTGAACATGATGATCTGTAGGCAGTTTCTTTCAGTTAGTAGAGGGTACCAAGTATTTTGTCAGCTTTTGATATAAAAGAAAAACGATAATTGTATAAATGACTGAGTAAAGCACACCGTCTGAATACTTCTGCTTTTGAATTAAGATACTGCTCTCCTGCAGTATATAAAGGAACACTTCTTTTTAACTGCTGGGAGAAAGATGATCTTATAACCATTTTGTAATTCTTCAGATGCTTAAGTTGTGAATTGACAGAAATACTCTCCTGTTATCTTGAAAGATTATTTTTGTAATTTTCTAGATGCTGAGGATTTTTTTTTTCCCCCCGTTTTAGGTAAAGCTGCTTCATTTCTGTAGCTTAGGTTATACTAAGTAGATGGTAAAGAATAGCCTGGTTATTAAGTAGATAAATGTCAAGAATGCCTTCTAAAGTAGACATTTAGATTTTTTTTTCTTTTGGATTAATGGAAAAGAAGGTCAATAATTGCATGGATTTCCGTAAGCCTGAGAAGAAATGGCATTCCTGTGGTGCTAGTGATTATTAAAACATTGAGAATTCCATTTGAGATGCTAAGCTCAGTATTTAATATCCCTTCCAGTGTGAAAGAAAGCTGGGTAAGGCCTGCACATTTGTACAGCTTTTGAGGAGGCAGCTCCCAAACTCAACCGTGCTTTTCGGGGAGAAACGGAGTAACCTGCAGTGGTCTCAGAGTGTGTTTGTCCTGTCAGCAGGGCCCGCCCGACTTCCAGCAGCACCCGCCGGGCCCCGTGGCCAGCAGCTTCTCGCCCGCGCCGCGGCTGCCCATGCAGGAGCAGTGGCGGGGCCCCCCGCCGCCGCTGCCGCCGCCACCGCCGCCCCCGCAGGACCGCGACCCCTTCTTCCTGGGAGGTAGGGCTGGCCGGGGGTCTCTGCGCTTTAGCTGCGTGGCCTGGGGGGGAAAGGGTCCCCAAGGGCCTTGGTTAGGGGGGTCTTGGTCCCCTACCTGGAGGCCAGGTAGTGGAAAGGGTGGTAGAGGGGTATTACAAGCAGTCAGAGTTAGGAAAACAGTACAGTGCAAGAAGCAAACTAGTGCGTGCATAAATCTGTGTACAGTTTTTATATGCATATATATATAAATGTATATGTGTTAAAAGCTGCTGAACGTGCAACCAGCACATGACAGTGAAGTTTTGTGAGGCCTTGTATGTCTTAAACGCTAATCCCTGTAATCTTTCCTTGCTGTGATTAGAGCAGAATTCCTAAGCTCTTCCCAGTTCCCGCTTAAGGGTGGTGCTATGGAAGCAGCAGGGACTTCCAGGGTAAAAAGCCCTCAGGGGATCTGGTTTTCCCCCTTGAAATCGGCCTGTGTGGGGCGAGGGGGCGCCGCGGATCCCGCAGGGCACTGATGCCGTCTCCGCTTCCTCCGCAGATCCCCGCTTCCCCGGGCACCCCCTGTTCGAGCAGCGCAGCCCCCCGCCGCCGCCGCCCCCGCCGCTGCTCAACAGCGCCCACCCGGTGCCCACGCAGAGCCCCATGCCCTTCGCGCAGCCCGGCCCGGCCTTCAGCCAGCAAGGGCAGCAGCCCGTGTTCCCGCGGGAGCGGCCCGTGCGGCCCAACCTGCAGCCCCAGGGCCCCGTGGGCATCCTGCACTTCAACCAGCCGGGCTCGGCCGCCCCGCGCCCCTTCATGCCGCCGCGGCAGCAGTTCCTGCAGGCGCCCACGCAGCCCTTCCTGGCAGCCCACGCGCAGCCCAACATGCAGGTATGTCAGGGATGGGGATGGGGACGGGGACCAGGAAGCGGGGCGGGAAGCGGCTGCGGTGGGGCTGGAACGCCCTCTGCCGGAATCGCAGGGCAGGGAGCCCTGCACTGCAGCGCTGCCCGGGGCTAGGGCTGGGGAAGGAGTAGAAAGGGGGCCGGGGGCAGCCCCTCACCTGCCTTTTCTGTGGGGGGCTGCCCAGGTTCAGACACAGAAGCACCTTGCACAGCCAGGCTGCTTGGTGCGGCTTGTTCCGTAGCTGCTGCGAGGTGTCTCGAGGCTGCGTGAGGCTGGGTGCTGCTTCTCCAAGTTGATCACTCCATCCCTAACTGCCACCAACCTCTCCCTCCCGGTGCAGGGCCCCTTGCACCCTCCTCTGCAGCCGCAGCCCCAGCCGCAGCCCCAGCAGCACCATCACCAGCAGCAGCAGCAGCACCATCACCAGCAGCAGCAGCAGCACCACCACCACCTGCAGGGCCCCCCGCAGCCCTTGATGCCCATGAACCAGCCCCAGTTCCGGCCCCACATGCCAGCCGCCCAGCAGCAGCCCAACAACAACCGCATGCAGTGCCAGCAGCGGCAGGGGCCCATGAAGCCCAGGCACGTAAGTACCACCGCCCTCCACGTCCCCTCTCGTGCGGCCGTGTCGGGCACGGGCCTGTTGCCCTGTAGCCTGTTCTGCCTCCCAGCGGGTTGTCGTGACCCGGCAGTCCCTGTGGAGCAGCGGGTGTAGCTGCTCCGTGTGACTGCAAAGCAGAACAACCAGCTTGATGAGGAAAATAAAGCGCTCGGTGAAAGGCACATCTGAGAAATATATAAACAAGGGAGATGAGGTTTTCCTGAAAATAAAACTCTGGTTAGAAGGGTCTCATTTCTATAACTCTTATCTGAAAAATACCAGAAAAATGCAGCTCCTTTAAAAGCTTTTTTTCTGGCCCCAACTTAGAAGCCTAACCTAATCATGAAAGATCTAAAGGGGCAACACTTTAGTCTTGCTCATGGTGGAAGTGTTTGCACTTTTTCTTTCTGCTTTTCAGAACACCCCCTCCCAGAATATTGTCAAGCGTTCAAATCAGCAGCTACAAACAACTGCTCCAAGGAACAGCAACTTGCGTGAGTTGCCCATAGCCCCGTCGCACGCCATGGAAATGAACAACAACAGGCGGACTTCTACTCCAGCTGCTCAGGTCAAGCCCATCACCAGCACCATGTCCTCCACCAAGGCTGTAGCTGGCTTTGGAAACTCGCAGGGAAGGCCTGAGATGAAGGCTAAAGCAATCACACCAGTGGGCCAAGCGAAATCAGAAGTAAAATCTGAGCCAGAGGTAAAGTGTTTTGGTTATTTTGGTGGTTTTTTTTTTGATGCCACTAGAGGTGCCTCTGTTGAGTCGGACGTTCCTGTTTAATATGATGGCAACAACAGTCAACACTGATGATGACAGCAGCAACAACAACGTGTGGAAGGTTGGGATTGCTGGGAAAGTCTATTTTGCAAGAGGAGTGGTCACTTCTCCCATGACAAGGCAGAGGGTTGAGGAAGAGTCATGAACCAACCTCTGAAATAGCCTCTGTGCCCATTTTTACCTTGCAGCCTTTCTGACTTTTTTTTTTTTTTTCAGCTTAGCATTTCCTCTCAAATCAGAAAACCTCTTCTCTTCCATTGCCTCTGATGTCCTGGACCTCAAAACAAAAGTGTGTTCATAGAACTGTTTTCCTAATGCTACTTCCTTCACACAGTCCAGTCATCTCTGTGGTCTTTAGAAGTTGCTTCTGCCCTGTGTAGGGAGCTTCTTGCTCATGTAGAAGGAAATGCCTTTTACACAACATTTTGGACTGTTCTCTGATCCAGGGAAAATATGAGAGATTCTTAAGTTTTCTGTTTTGGAAGGGAACTTGTCATTTTGTTTGCTAATAATCTGCAAAATAGAAAAAGAAGTGTCTGGGTCAACAAGTGGCTGCTTTGCCAGGCAGATGCTCATGGATGCTAGAGCAGACTCCATGGGTGCTTTTGATGTGCAAGGCGACAGGATTGCACTGGTGGTGCTGTTAATACTGAACGAGAAGCATGATGGTTACCAAATCCCACACAGTTTCTGAATGTCAGACTATTCTGAGCAGAACTCTAAGACCTTCTAGTTCAGCTGACCATGAATCTTGCCTCAAGGACCAGATGTCTTTCAACCTTCTAAAGCTCCTGTTGGAAGCTTTAGTTGTGGTAAGACTTGCTTCTCTTTAAGCTGCTGGTTATTAGCTTCACATCCTTCTTGAATTTGTTATGATCATCCTAATTTCCACAAATGAGGCACAAAAGAAATCCATAGCTAGCAGTGTTTGACCTCCTGTACATGCACTTCCACTGTGCACAGGGGAAAAAAAACCCTTATTTCAGCTTTAATTTTTTCTTTCCAAAAATGACTCAAGTAATCCCTTTTTCCTCTGTTCAGTCTCTCCCAATTGTCTCAAGTCACAGAAAATGCCATACCTCCTAGGGAAGTCTCTGTCTTTCAGGCCATTAGCATGGGTTAGTTTTGTAACCCTCTGCAAAGCAGATATAGAGGCCTCACTGTCTAAAAAATTGTATAGTTCTTTCATATTTTAGTCAGATGAAATGTAAGGCCTTAGTCCTGAAATATCTCTGCTGGTGTCTAGAAAAGTGAACTATTTTTTTATTCTTAAATCAATTTTAAAAATTCATAAGCAGACATTTTGTGCTGTCCATTTTAAGTTTTAAACGCATCTTAACCTAGTCATATCCAAACCAACCTTAAATTAACTAAGCACATTCATGCGAAGTCTTAGTTTTACAAAATTAAGCTTCCTTTTTATTTCTATGGCAAGACTATCTCTGGAAAGAAGTTCTGATATGTGTTTCACATAGGTTTTTTCTGTGTGTGTGATTAACTAAGTTCATCTTATTTTTCTCTCTAAAAAGATGAGAAACAATTTGAATTTGTCATCTTTTTCTAACTGTATTGCTCATAACTGACATAGGTCGTATTGCAAGGGTCTTTAAGTGGGAAACTATTGAGACTAATTTTTGTCTCTTTTTCATCCTTCTTCCTGAAGAATCTTGGAATTCAGGAACCACCAAGATAGCCAAGTTGCATATTCCAGGTTTCCTCTCAATTCTAAATTCTCATATCTTAGAAGATTGCAGCCTCAGTGACTAGAAGATAAAAGCTAGAAATGAGCTTCCTTAATAGTATATCAGAGTTTCCATTCCTTGGAGGCTGCAAAATGCTGCCTCTAAACCCCTGTTCTATAAACACAGCCAGTTATGCTTCAAGATTATGTTTAATTTCAACAGTCACGTTGGAAAAGGTGGGAGGTGGCTTATGACCTAATTCTGCGCATATTGAAGCTAGTTTAGGAGGGGAAGAATTAAACCAATATGTCTGAATTTGGTGGTTCTGTGGTTAGGATAGGTTTATTTTCAGATCTTAATAATGGTACCCAGTGTCTTGTGTTCAGGGAATCCATCTTACCACAGTCTTTTTCCGGTGAGAAGATCACAGGAGGGCAGCAGCTTCTCCAAGTGCCCTTCTTCCTAACTCTTCCTGTTTGTTCAAGATGTACAGCACCTATGCTTAGTAGGATAACCCATACCCTCTTAGAGCTGCAGGAGCTGTTATGTCATATGAAATGTGTGGCACATATTTAGATGTTTTTATTTAGGATAACTTGTGGGTTTGAATGCAAGCAGTGAAATGCTATGGTTTAGATTTATCTTTTTTATAAAGACTTGTCAGCAATTTGGGAACAAGAGATTCTAGCCCCTCTTGTTTCTAAAATTACAACTGAAAAACAAGCTACCAATCTGCTAAACATGTGGATTCACGTGTAGAGGCCACAGATCAACCTTTTGACCGACAGTTTTCCCCTCTGTCCTCGCATCCATCCTGCTTAGGACACAGGTCGGTCTGGTGCACAGGTCCTTTTTTGTTTCCTGATGGGAAGCCTGAGTACTTGCACTATTCCCATTATGTTGCTCTGCATTTAATTTTGGCAACTAGTAATAAAACCTGCAAACCTTGGGGAAGCTTTGTGAGCTTTTGAGCTCAACAATGGCATTCTAAACCCTCCTATATTGAGGGTATTCTAGAACTATTGCTGCTCTTGCTGTTACTCTTTAGCTGGCATCAGAAAAGCAGCCTCTAACACTGTTTTTTTTGGCACTTCTACCTTAAAGTCTTAACAGACTTTATTGGAAGACAAACCTGTAGCTGAAGTTTGGTCTTCCCCCCAAACTTGGGGAGGAAGTATCGTTTGTTTAAGAACTGTTCAAAGACAGGTGAGAATTTGACCCTGAATCTCTACCCTTGTGTGCTGTAGCCTTCAGACATGTATGACATAGAGAAATCTGTCTTGGACTTATTAAAATAATGGGGTGAAAAGCATTAGCAGTAGGGATTGCAGACCCCTCCAGTCCTGATCCAGGCTGCTGTATGTTTCCCTGGTGCTTTATCTGGTGAAGCACCTAATGACGTGGGAGAAGTGCTCCTGAAGCTGAGGACCTTTAATTACCACTGAGCTCATCTCAATGAGGAGTTTGCCATCCATTCTGTATCTCTGCTCTTGGGTTGTTGCACAACTAGCTCCTATCAAATCTGAGTCTGAAAGCAAATGTTCTGTTCATGAGCAAAGGGCTCCTTATCCTCTTTGGACTTCCTTTGGTGACAAGGGTATTTACTGAGGACTTAGCAGTAGTAGCAGCTTCCTTGGGGAGGAAGGAATTAGTTGTGGTTTCCCTGTCAATGGGCTAATCTGTGGCAAGCTCCTAAAATTGGCAGCTTAGCTCATAGCATCTCAGAGCTTTTGATTTCAAAGCTACCTCTGTAGAAAAGGCTTGAGTTCATAGTATCCAGATGACTCAAAGTACTGAGCTGCTGAAAGAAGAAATTCAAAATAATAAATTTGAGATCAGGTTGCCTGACTCCATATGTCCTGGTAATACAGTTTGTCAGTCTTCCATGTTTAGTGCTAGTGCTGTTGGTGAGTGCAAATCTGCTAGATCCAAGAGGGACTGCATGTGTTGGCCACAGCCCGTCAGGATGTTCATTCCTGGTCTGCTCGAAAGCCCCATTTCGTGTCTGCCACAAAGTACTGCTGTTCACGTGGTCTTCAAGGTAGCATTTGGTACTTTGCAACTCGTTCAGAAATAGTTAGATTATGATATAAACTGACAGTTCCCTCATGGTAAAGGGCAGCTTTAGGGCCAGGATGGTCTTATGCAGAGTCTTGCAAGTATTGACACCTTTCAGTTGACAGTAAGGGGAGAAAAATGCATTGCTGTCTCTAGGTAAATTTGGTACTGACTCACTGATACCTATCAAAGCCACTTGGATAAAGCAAGTGAATACATTGATCTATTAAGTTAAATGTAACAGGTTTTCTATTTAAACTGTTTCAGTAGTTGTGAGATATTTGCTGTCTTTGAAAATGTCTGAAACATTAGTCATGGCATCGGGATATAGCATCACATCCTCCTCCAGTCTAGAAGTTGCTTGTGTTTCCTTAACCCACACTGACTGGATTTGAGCCCTGTGCTGTTTAAACATATGTCTTAATGGTCTTATTCCTATACTCCAAGATTCCTAGTTTTCACTCTCAGGGTAAATACTTCAGTGTTCTCTTTCCTTCACTCCCCCTCTTTTTAGTTGGCAGAGTGTATTCCTGTTACCATCTATCTAAGACCAATTATATTCTAGTCCTATAGTCCTTAATCGCCGTAATCCTAACCTGAAAACTATAGAGAAAATTCAGAACCTTTTGGTGTATGAAGCCTTCTCTGAAAAAGGACAGACCTCATATGTATATTTGAATAAAAATGTCGTCTTGTGCATTTGGGCCAAACACCTGCACAAAGTGGCAGAAGTTAGAGCCTCGGTTACTGCAAGGTAAATAACTGCCCACTGCTAAGTCAGTTTTTCAGAAGTGTCTTAGCATTATTGATGCCACAATTTACCAAAATGCAAAGTTAGCTTAAGAACCTATTCCTGTTAGGGGCAATCAATATATCCATTTAAGAGAGAATGTTTGTCTGTTGAAATTTTAAATAGAGAAATGTTGAGACTCATGAGAAATCTTTTATTGCAGAAAATAAAAACAAAACTTTGAAAAAATATGTTTTATAATTTTATGTACATACGTATATGTATATGTAAGCATCTGATTGTATCACCAGAGCAATTTGGTTTCTTTTCCAGGATTGGGGGGGAATTAGCATTTCCTTGACTCTGTCCATTTCGCACAGCTCTTCCGAAGAGCCGGTTTGGCTGAAGTTGAACAAGCTGCAGAAAGGTTATTTGATAATATATAAAACTTTCCGAAGGGTCTGGGGCTGGAATATTAAAGGCATTCTCTGTATACCATTAATATTCCACCACTGCATTTGACAACATTTTGATTCTGGAGAGAGTGCACGAGTTCAAGGTCAGAGAGATTGACTTGTGCTGTTCATTATAACCAATTATTGTGTGACAAATGAGTTTGAGATCAGGCTGAAAATTCTGTGAGAAAAATCAATAGTTCTAATCAGGGCCTTTCAGGTCATTTACCACCCTACCTTTTGTTACTTTGTCAGAAAAGAGCAAGATAAAACCTGTGTGACAGTGGCTTGCCTCCGTATTGTTACTTGCCATTCGAAACATATTTTGATATCATGAATTATATTAATAGTTTAATTGGTTTTAGGAGCTTCTAAATGAGTTCCAATTTGTAAGAATCCTTTTTTAGTATTCTGATAAGATTTCTTAACTGGTATTATGACTTTCTATCGAGGAAGCAGTGTCTAAGTCCCATATTTGAGCTGTTTGGCTCTCCTGAATAGCAACCGAGCGTCGCCAGCAGCTTCGGGCCCCGGTAGCCATTGCTCAGCATCAGGGCTGCCTTCGGAGCTCGTTAGCGTGGTGCTGATGTGACAGCTTCAAAAACACTAATTTAAGGTGGTTTTGAGGGGCTCTGCGTTGGCCGGGCGTCTGACAGCTGCATCTGTGTTCTCCCTTTGCAGTACCCGGATGAAGATGAGGAAACGCGGCTGTACCGCCTGAAGATAGAGGAGCAGAAGCGGCTGCGGGAGGAGATCCTCAAGCAGAAGGAGCTGCGGCGGCAGCAGCAGGCGGGCGCCAGGAAGCGGGAGCTGCTCGAGCGCCTGGCGCAGCAGCAGCAGCAGCCGCCGGCGCCGCCGCCCTACGGGCAGCACGAGGACGAGCCCTGCGACTTCCCCGCCAACGGCAGCCCGTACGGACCCCACTCGGGCCTCCAGGCCAGGCCCAACGTCAAAAACAGACTGCTGGTTAAGAAGCAGGATATGGTGGCTCCGCACAGCTTCCAGCAACCCAAGCCCCCTGATTTCCCCCAGGTTGGCACAAACATGCAGTACCAAGGACACCAAATGAAGCCGGTGAAGCAGCTGAGGCAGACGAGGACGCTCCCGCCGAGCGCCCCGCCGGCGTCGCCCAAGGCCCCGCAGGCCAAGCCGGCCGCGGCGGCCGCGCTGCCCGCGACGGCGCCGTCCCCGCGCGCGCCCTCGGGCCCGGCCCGGCCCCAGGAGCTCAAGCCCGGCGTGAAAAGGACTGTGATGCAGCGCGCCAACAGCGCGGCCGGAGACGGGCCCCACGTCGGCAGCAAGGTCAGGGTGATTAAGTTGTCAGGAGGGGTAAGTTTGCCGGGCTGCTCGCGGGCACGCGCGCTGCCGCCGGTCGGGCCGTGTAACCCCAAAGCAGCAAACGGGTCTAAGCTGAAAAGGGAGCCAGCAGGTTTAGCAGGCCTAATAATCGGTATTTTTTGGCAACTGCAAGTTCTTAGCAGCTCCTCAGAATTGTTTTTTTTCTCTAATGCTTTCCTGCCCTTATCACTAAAATCACAGTGCCTTCTCTGGAGCCATCTCTGAAGTCCCTCGAGTCTAAAAGACTACTCGGCTGAGATCTTTCTGCTTAAGGTTGATGTGTCTGATAAGGTGGCGGAGGAGAGAGGCTTGTGTGGCTATTCTGAAGGTTCAGTCGAAAAGCTGGGCTTTGCTGATCCGATGGTGGAAGTCGCAGCGTAGCTTTGCGTGCGGGCGCCTGTGCTGGTGCGCGCCCCAAGGCTGTGCCTGGGGGAAGAGTGTTTTTATTTTCTTGGGATGCGTGTTGCAAAATGAATTTGAAGCAGAATATCGTTGGAGGATGTTTTCTGTTAGCCCGTGTTGAAAATGCTCCCGTTTCAGTTCTGCATCTCAATGAGATTCCCTTATCTGTCGGTGAGGGGTCTGTTATCAGCAGAGGGTCCCCTGAGCACTGGTGTCGGGGAGGCCTCTCAATGCTGGCCCTCATGGCAGTGTGTGTGTGTTTAAGAGTCGGTATTTTTAGTTAGAAAATACTGAATTTCTTCTGTCGTCCTGAAAAGACAAGTTAATTGATTGAGGCTCTGAAGAAGCTGAGGTGTACTTGGGGTGTGGGGTCCTGGAAGACGCTTCTCTGACCCTTACGTGGATTAGGGAAACTTGGAAAACTGCTTCCAAGTTGTAACAAAGTGAACGTAGAAGATTGGCAGGAGCAGAGCAAGGCCCTGGGGCTGAGCAAGCAGGGAGCAAATTGAAATGCCAAAGTCAACTACTTCTCATAACCTTTTTTTTCTACAGCTCTTGAATAAACTTTAAAGTGTGAATTGCATAATGACCATTTGGTCTTTCACAGTGTTAGCCTAAAGGAGCTTGTTGACTAAATAGAGCTGACAACCTGAGTTGGAAGGTGTCTGATTCCTCAGGCACAGTTAAATGCAGAGTAAGGAAGAAGTACAAGTATATACTTATATATAAGTATAACGAAATTGTTTCTGCTGGATTGAAAAAAAATTATAAATATGACTGTAGGAATCACAGTGGCTGGCAAGAAGTGTGGCTGGTTTGTTATTCATGAGGAATTGGAAGAAGTACTTGGAAAAAGCTTGTTTTCTGATGCAGTAAAGCAAAACAGTGCCAGTCACCACTAGATCTCTTCATAGCCATAATTATCAATGCTCAAACTAGCATTAAATATATATATATACGCATATATGCTATATATGGTAGATAAAATCACATACCATCTGAGAATTTGTATTTAGTTGATTATGGAAAAGTCTGAAGTTCGCCTGGCTTAGTAAGTCATAAGATCCAGGTAAGAAAAGACACAATGAGAAGGGAGTTTGTTGGGAAGAAACGCCCTAGTAACTCATTAGTTAATTTGATCATAAAAATGATAAGAAATCTGGATGATTGGACCATAGAAATAATTAGCTCTGTCTTGAAGGGAGAATTAATTGTATAACATTCCTGACAGATGCCCAGCCTTTTTTCTTAGATCTCATTAATGAACTTTCCTTTGGCCATCCACTGCAGTGTTTAAATATCTGTATATTTAAGAGGTTTTTTTCGCTGACCAAACTATAATTTGTGGCAGCGATCAGGTGCTGTGACCATCTCGTGTGCCCCACGAGATGTGGGGAAGGACCTTCTTCCCTCTGGTGGCTCTCTCTCACTTTCAAGGTTTGCTAGCTGTTGGTGTGCAGTCAGAGCCTGTTTTGAGGGGTGATGGTCCCTAACCCCTTCCATGTTCATGGTCTCCTTGGACTCCCTGCTTATCACCCTGTTGGCAAATAGTTACAGTACCAAGGGCAGCTGAACTCTGAAGCTGGGATTTTAGAGGTGTTAGTCCTCAAAGAACAGGCTTGTACTGATTGCAACTCTTAAGTATCCTAAGATGAAATATGAAATGTGCTGTGTGTGTTTTTCATCTGATTGGAGGCTGTGTGCGAAATGATAATATCTTAAAAACCTCTGTATCATTCTGGTGTTTGACAGTGTTGTTGGGTGGTTTCTCCCTAGCCAGAAACTGCTCTGCCATGTTCAAAGTGGTAGATGTCTGTGCCAGAGGCCTGGAAATGCTGGTTCTAACACTGCACCGAGAACACACTACTCGGCATCTGTGGAAAGCTGCACAAGGAGCTTTCTTGTATATATGTAAAGTTAATTCCAGTGCACTACATTGGATTAAAGGCAACATCCTATTACTGGTCGTAATTTCTGAGAACTTGAGATGCTTCATCTGGAAAAGCTTGAAGGAAGAGCTGGCAAGTTGTTTTATCCGGACAGCCTGTCACCAAAACCCCCCAAAAATGTCCTTGGATTGTGGAAAGAAAGGACTGGAATGGAAGATAGTCAGAATAATTGCAAAGGGAGAGGTGCATATGGAGTTTGAAATGTGGAAAAAATATCCTGATGTAGATGGTTGTTCCTTGCTCACGTAACGAGCTCCACCAGCCTCATTGGATGGTTGTACTCGGTGTCGCTCGCACGTGTCTGTTCAAATTTAACTGATTAAAAATATTTGTCTGGAAAGCTTCATAGTGCCTTTCATCCAAGTAAGTCCAGAATTACAAACATGAAGATTTTCAGTGTTTGCTTGACGAGTTCTCCAGGGAGCTCCGCTGGAAGCGGAGCAGAGGCGACGATCCCAGCGGCCGGGCGGCCTCACAGCTGCTCCATGTGCCACCCTTCGGAAGAGAGGCAGGTACAAAACATGGCCCTGTTTCATGAGAAGCAGATTGAAAGACATCAGAAGCCATTATCATAATGTCCCCGTGTCACGTTTGTCATTTATAGACCATCCAAAGGGGCAGGACCTTTGGAGGGATGGTAATTTGCAGGCTGCAGGAAGAAGGACTCTGTCTGCCATGGTCTGTAAGATTTCACTCTAGAAATACGTTGTGAGTAAACGTAGTTTCTCCTCCTTTCTTCCTCCTTGGAAATATATATATATATATATATGTAATCCTTAGGGAGACCTGGGATATTCCTGTTATGGAAAAGACAGGCTATGGCCCAAATACCCCAGGAAAAAGTAACAGCCCCTTTTTCCTTCACCCTCCAATGAGGATGGTTCCTGTAGCAAGAGAATATTTTGTGACTTGAAGTAGTTCTTTGGCAGAGGCAGATGGACTGTCCTGTGCTATCTGGGAAACTGCTGTTCAGTGAAAAAGAAGCATAAGGGCACACTGACCAAGTACAGGTACCTGAGGTGAGAGCAGAACCAGATGCTGATAAGGTTTTTATGGCTGGCAATAAAATCCTCAAAGAGGGGAAGATGTAGCTCCCTAAATTGAATTTAGCTTTCATGTGGATAACTTGGAGACAAGGTGAAATAAAGTATTTCCCAGTATAGACTGGAGAACAGGGCTCTCCTTTTCCTCACTAGGCTGTTAAATTGTGTGTGGAGGAGGAGCTGCCTCCTCCTGCGTGTCCTCAGAGCAGGCGTTGGCTGCTGCTTACCACTCCTGCTGTATCTCAGAGGAGTTTTTCTTCCTTTTCCTCCTCTGTGGTGCAGAATTCATGTTGATCACGATTTTGGTGTTAAGCACTAGCTGGTAACCCAGTTTCTTGATGGGAAATGGCTCAAGGCAACTGCCCCAGCATTAGAAAAGTATGTAACAAAGTGAGAATTAGCTGGATTTAATTACTGAATTGGGGAAAAATGCAGATTCCTCTGATCTAAATTTAATATCTCCAAGAGTTACAAATGCCTTTGAATGGCTTTTTTAGCTGAGCTATTTAGAACAGGCCTCCAACAGGGAGATGGTTGTGAGCACCGAGCAGTTTGACACTAAGTGGCTGGAGACAGAGGTGGGGCAGGTTCTGGCTGTGTTGCCAGCAGTGTTAGCAAGAAGCCTAGGAAAACAAGGCAGAAATATCCACCTGAGCCATTAGTTTTAAAGAAGTATGAACTAGAAAAACTAAAAGTGATATAGAAGATAGGGAGGTTCCAAATAGCCTGGTTTCGGTCTGTCATGTCTCTAACGATCAGTCAACAAATGCATAACCAGTTTTCTGGTTGAGCACAGTTTAAAGTACAAGGCTTTGATTCTGGTTTTTCATCCTAATTTAAAATGGGTGAAATCCTCTCATTTTTAGACAGATGTGACTGATACCACTATGTATGAGAAAAAAATAAGCGAGCTGAGCCTGTTTAGCCTGGAGAGGAGAAGGTTGGCAGGGGATATGATCAATATGTATAAATACCTGAAGGGTAAATGTACGGGGGAAGGGGCCAAGCTCTTCTCAGTGGTGGCCAGTGGTAGGACAAGGGGCAGTGGATACAAGTTGAAACGCAGGAAATTCCATCTCCATGTGAGGAAGAACTTCTTGACTGTGAGGGTGCCAGAGCCCTGGCACAGGCTGCCCAGGGAGGTTGTGATGTCTCCTTCTCTGGAGGTCTCCAAACTCGCCTGGATGCCGCCCTGTGCTCTGGGTGTCCCTGCTAGAGCAGGGGTTGGACTAAATGATCTGTAGAGGTCCCTTCCAGCCTCAGCCATCCTGTGATTCTGTTCCTACCATAGCAGCAGGATTGATTTAAAAATATAGAGAGGAGGCTAATGCCATGTAGTAACTTACTCTCGTGTGTCAGAGACTGCTTAGACTTTGAACGTGCCTCAGTGCTGCCTGACTTCTGTTTCTGAATGGAACAAAGTGAGAAACGGGTGGTTTTCTGCTTAGTATTTTTGGATACAATGACAGAACTTGTGGGTTTTGAGTTGTTTTTATCTGGCATAATGACAGTCAGCTGAAGTCTCAAGTCTTGAGAATGAGGCTTGTTGTCTGGTAGCCCATGCAGGTTTTCTCCTGCTTTTCTCTCACCACATGCC